GCACGGCTGGAAAACATCCTTCCGCTTCCAAGCAGGACTTGAACCTGGTACCCTCTGTTTCTCAATCATGGTCTTAGACCATCCCACTATGCCTGCCTGTCTCTGCAAAAACAGCTCCCGTAAAATCGACTCATCCAATTGGCTGGAGCCAATAAGCTGCTGCATGCGGCGCAACAGGTGGGATGGGGTGCGGTCTCCAAGCTCCTCTTCCGTGAGCAGACGCCGGAGTCGCTTCTGCTCAGACATCTGAGTGCGGGCGATGAGCTGGCTTTTCAGCGTCGTGTATGGCTCAGTCTGCGGGGGACTGATGAGCAGCTCTCGGACCTCCATGGAGAACTGCTCCGACAGTGCCGCAGCTACATAATCGAACTTGGTCCGCTGGGCAGTGATGCCACGATGACTGAAGAGACACTCAGCCCGGGCAAACCACAGAGCGGGATCCGAAGGGTAAAAATCGGGCAGCTTGATATTGACGGCTGCCACAGCTGGGGGCCGGTCCAACTCAGGGCTACTCCCAATAACACTACCAGTGGTACTGGCTGTGGCCTGTGCCTTGTTGAGCTGGTCCAGCAGCGCCTGCTGCTGTTGCCTGAGCTCCATGAGTTCCTCCCTGGTAACTGAGGGTGCGTCCGGGAAAGGTTTTCCACGGCCCTTCCCGTTGCTGGCCGGCGTGGTCATGGTGAACAATGTAGCCTTGCCTACAGAAATATCGGGGTCACCAATTTAGCAAATTTAGGTCTGCGCCTGCTAAGGGGGCGTGCGAATCGGGCCACTTCCTGGTCGCAACAGACACTTCGACAGTTAGCGGCAATGATTACTTTACACGTTACAGTTAGAAAGATTCGGCAGACTACATATGAACAAGAAATAAGTACAGGGGCAAGGAGCCATAAAAAGGTGCTTCGGCAAGGGCCAAGCAAGCAGAGAGAGATTGTCAGGAAGAGAAAAGGCAAGCTGGCTGGCGGCAACCGTATGCAAAAGTGAGGTTCGTGGCATACGGTACGCCAATATGCTAACGTACGCTAAAGCCAGTGCTTCCAAAAACATTGCGGAAAAGTGCAGCGTGGGCAGCACAAAAGCCACGTGGGTGACTGTGAGAATTATGACGTAGCAAGTCGTAGCACGACAAGCTCACGCAATTTTTCTCATGTAAATTTCTAAGCGATTGGATAACAGACGACCAATTTCGAAAAATTTATGCACAAAGTGATCACAGATTTTATGTGGTATATATACTTTCGTCAACTGGTCATAAAACTTATCGAGGACTTCTGGTTTTCGCTCCGATACAGCTGACGTGGGACCGTACGCGTTCACCAAGCTCAGCAAAAACGTCCGTTTTCCACCGCTGCAAGGTAACTTGAATTGCAGTACGGCCAGCCGCTCGCAGTCCGCCGGTGTCCAGGAGCGGTACAAGAATGGGCTCAGGCGGGGGGCTACCAAGAAGCCCAAGCCGTACGCAGGAGTTTCTGGCTTGAACGTCAATAGTCGATATCCTTCAAGCGTTGCCGTTACGTTGTCTTGTATCTTGGTTTCTTGTAGAGCGACGACGTCCGCGGAGTAGGTCCTTGCATCCGCCACCAGGTCGCGTTTCTTCGTGTCCATAGCAAGTCCACGTACGTTGAAAGTCGCCACTCGCCATTCCGTTGTCAAACAATTACTATCACAATTATCATTGATGGTCGGAACCATGGAAGACGAAAATAAATAAACGTTGAATGAATGAAAGAATGAATGCGTCGATAATGCCGATAGACTAAGTTGGTGTTATTCCTAGCTTACCAGAGAGGCAAAGAAAGGAGGCAAGCAGACATCTAACCACCTGGGAAGGCAAGAGCCCAGCCGGTAAAAGGATCTTCAATCAGATCGACTTCATACTATGTAACTCGAGACAAAGAGCTGTGCTGCAGGACGCCTGGTCATACGCTGGCACAAGAACCTTTTCTGACCATCGCCTAGTTATGGCCCGTGTAAAATTTAAAGCTCTTCACCCTGTGTGGAACCGAGGCAAAACAATCCGCAAACGCAAGTTCAACACCATGAGACTGGTCAATGACAAGAAAATGCAGAAATTATACCAAACGAAAATGGAAGAAGCGGCACCTCAACTCCTCAATGTGGCAGAAGCAAGCGCAAGACTCACGGCAACATGCTCATCCATTCGCAAGGTGGCAACTGGAGTAGTCGGATACACACCGAGCAGAAGCAAGCTACCCTACGCTACGGATGAGGTAGACAAACTCTCAGAATTGCAGAGGAAGCTGCGTATGGATCTTAATAGCACACCAAACATGAATAGAAGAAATGAGCTGCGAGTGCAGCGTAACAGAGTGCAGAAGGAAATCCGAATCCTGTCTCGACAGCTGGCGTTACAGCATCTTGAGAGCCGCGTCAGAGAAGTGGAGTCGCTCAAGAACGGGCCAATGATGTTTGCAGTGATAAAACTGCTGAAACCAAAGTGCCCACGAGATTTAACCATTGTAGACAACAACGGCAAGGCTGTCCTTGGGCCAGGAGAGCAAGCGGATAGAATAGCTGAGCATTACACTGGGAAATTCTCTCCTACTGCTGCAGAGCCAGCGGTTACGCCATTCACAGGAACACCGAAACCCCTCGATAAACCGATTTCCACAGCAGAGGTAGCGAGCGCAATGAGTCGTCTAAAGAACCAACGCTCCTGCGGGCCTGATGACATACCGGCCGAGCTGGTCAAATACGGAGGCCCTGCACTTGCAGAGTGCCTAAGCAGCCTTTTCAACGATGTATTCACTCAGCACAGCCAAGCGTCCCTTGGAGATGGTGTACTAATCGCTCTGCATAAGCCAGGTAAACCCAAAGGCCCCATGAACAATTTGCGTCCAATAACATTGCTGACTACTGCCAGAAAAATCTTGTCCCTCATCACACTTAGCCGGATCAGAGCTGACGTAGAGCGATATATATCTCCATCGCAAGCCGAGTTCCGTCAAAACAGATCAACCGCAGACATTGTGTTTTGCAAACGGATCCTGGCACCAATTGTTGAACGCTTCAACACTACTATCTACGTGCTAGGGCTGGACCTGAGCAAGGCTTTTGACACAATAAACCGCACAAAGCTGCTTGATGTCATGGAGCAAGAGAAAATTGGAGACGCGGACGGTTTACGACTGGTTAGGTACCTGCTATCTGGCACGGCGCTGACAGTTCGCGTGAACGAAGCACAGTCCGCACCTTTTGAGACAGCTCGGGGGGTCCCCCAGGGCGATGGATTGTCACCGGTACTGTTCACGGTTTATTTGGAAGCAGCCCTACGAATGGTACGTGACCGACTGCCAGCCCGACCATCAGCAGACAACATTCTACCTGAAGAAACAGCTTACGCCGATGACGTAGACTTCATCTCCACATCAAAATCATTCCTTACCAGCGCCCTACCCGTCATCGCAGGCGTCTTCTCCGAATGGGGTCTTACCGTCAATACCAGTAAGACTGAATGGATCCGTATTTACCTGGAACCCACTTTGGGAGATGCCACCTCTACAACATCTAGAAATGTCGGCACAACTCGTGGTAAAGAAGCTTGGCGACAGGTGAAGACACTCGGCTCGCTATACGGCTCCGGGGAGGACGTAACGCGCCGTATTGGCTTGGCCGCAAGAGCATTTGGAGACACTCTGAAGTTATGGTTCAAGCACAACCTGCTTTCTACACCCATCAAAATTCATTTATACAACACTTTCGTTCTACCAATCTTGACCTACAACCTTGCTTGCCATAGCCTGTCCCGTGCACAAGAAAAGCGCCTAGATGTGTTTCATAGGAAACAGCTGCGATGTACCCTTGGAATTACCTACCCAGATGTCATCTCGAATGCAGATTTATATGCTGTTACTGGCCAGTGCTCTGTATCTGAAATGGCCAAGCGGGACAGGTGGAAGCTATTAGGACATATATTACGCCAGCCAAGTGACATCCCTGCAAATGTTGCTCTCACTGCTTTCTGTACATATGCTACCAGTCAGCCCTTTTGAATAGGTGCACCCCGCTCTTGCCTCACCACAAGTCTCCGGCGAGACGTCCGCCTCACACCTATCTGCATTTTTAAGCCCAGCTGCCTTCGTGATCTCGGCACCTATGCCCGCGACAGAAAACAATGGAGTAACATCTGCTCAGCCATTTAGTCTAGTACTGCTCTTCTTAAATTTGACCTTTATTACAAGACTCTTCTTTTCTTTTTCATTTCGTTCTCCCACTCTCACACACACATGCTCACAGTTAATTCTGCCGTCGTGAGTCCCATTCGGGACGAATACGAGAATAATAATAATATGCTGGCCTAACGGTTTTTTGAAACCAGAGGTCTGGACTTTTGAAACGCACTATAGTAATACAGGTTTTACTGTATACAGATATGGATGAGCAGTCTTTATAGACTGATGGTTCTTGTGGAATTCTTATCATTTTTCAGCTACACATGTGAGTCGGACGATTATGGCCTGAGGGTGGTTTATTAACGTGAAATCGTCAGTAGCAACCAAAGCCTTGCTCCACCATCATATCACTGCCCCCCCCCCCACACACACGGCATGGTGACGTTCCTCTGTGACTGTTTAAAAAAGTCTGTTTAGGCCATGGTAAAAAATAAAGTTGATTCTCAGGTCATGAGCCTGTGAAAATCGGTGCGAGCGAGCGATTTTTTATTTTAATTCCCACAATTTTTTTATTTCCAAAGATAGGGTCACACATGTGTACGTCACAGGTTCATAATTAATTTATAATTATTTTATTTTTCAGGCCAGGGAGTAGAAAATACCGGTATTTTACTACTCCCGGATTCATGCCTTTCGCATTGACCGTTTTCATGCACGCATATGCATGCATAGAAATAAAAAAAATCGTCGGTGCGCCGCCAAAAATCGATGCGCACGTACTTGAGAATCAAAGGTATTTTTTACCATGGCCTTATATAATACCACGAGCTCCTTCTTCTTGTTATGTGCATTGTGTATTGTCTGCAGGTGTACATTGCGGAAACTGTACAGCTGGAGCTGCGCGGCATTCTCACCACGTGCATGCAGATCTCGCTCACACTCGGCGTGATTGTCTGCTTCGGCTTGGGCGGCTCGGTCGGCTACCGTGACATGTCCATCGTCGGCGCGTGCCTGGCTGGCGTGTTCTTCTTGCTGCTCTGGTTCATTCCCGAGACTCCGCGCTGGTACATGCGTGCAGGCCATCTGGAAGAGGTCAGTACAGGTGGAATCCTGCTACACGTGTACTTCCAACGCCAGCTATTTGCCGGTGGAAAACTTCTCACAACTCATCGTTATGCACTGTTTTCTTGTTTCTTTTTCTTCATTCACTGATGATTGCTACCATACCTCCACCTGCCCCAACCTGGCAGAAGATTATCAACCACCATGCTTATTAGACGTGTTCAACGTGATTAGATACATGTATTTCCTTGGCCGCTTCATTTATCTCTCTCGTGCAGGGCATAAAGTCGTTACAGCGGATGCGTGGAAGCAGCGCCACAGTGGATCATGAAGCAGCACAGATCATGAAGGCTGTCACTGCGGAGCTAAACGCCAAGCCGTTCTCAATGGCGGAGCTGAAGGAGCCGTGCACCTACCAGCCACTGATGATGGCCATCGCTCTAATGTTTTTCCAGCAGTTCTCTGGAATCAACGCCGTCCTATCCTACACAACAATCATCTTTCAGGACGCCGGATTGGCTGAGAAGGCCTCAGCAATCAGTACTGGTGTGGCAGGCGTTCAGGTAATGTATGCCTTATACGGGTAGACATTGTGGTGTAATAAGTAACATCATAACAGAACGCTATCCCTGGGCATAGCATTGTCTGGGCCTGCAACTCTTTCCGTTAGGGGAGATGTAGTGTAATGAGTAGCATCATGACAGAACTCTGTCCCTAGGCATATCAATGTCTGTCTCCAGGTTTCTCCTTCCTACTCCCTACACTCACTCGCATTGATCTAACGTGTGTACTTGTATAAGAACCGCAGCCTGCCTGCTGTGCCATTGACTCATGCATTCATGTACCGCTGCACTTGTTGGCTGCGCATCACTAACCCTTCCCCTTCTATGCCACAGTCCCCGCACGCACCGAACGATGCGGTCATCGCGAGCGTCCTTGTATTGAAGTCGCCGTTGTCCGCGCTGCCGTAGAGGCGACGCAAAAGTGACTCGTCCACGGTCTCGGATGGCGACTGTGTGTCGCGTTCGAACGTGGACGACGTTGGACACGGGCGTGACGTACGCCGAGAGTTTCGTCTCCACTTCCTGAGATTTATCGCGATCGCCGGCGTTGTCGAACGCGAGCCATCCTAGATCCTGAAGTTGCAGACCAGGTTCGTTGCGGATCAATGTTATTTTTTTATCACTGATCCTGTTCACTGCGCCATGTAGCGGTAACTACTTAGAGTAGTTTCGCCTGACTGTTTATTGCAAAAAGGGGGAACATTATCGGACACGGAAAAGCACAACTAACTGTAAGGAGAGCAGAAACGAAGAGGTGATTCCAATCGGGAATCACTGTGTAAAGAAGACAGAGAGCGGAATGGACGGCGGTGCTGCGTGCACAAAGCAGCGACCGGAAGCAGCGTGCCCAGTACGGGATGCCATGTATAGATGGAGCCCGAGGCCGGCAGTGCACTCAGACATGAATACGCACGCGCACGCACCCGAGTACTGCGTTCAGTGCATGCGGGGACTGTGGCATAGAAGGGGAAGGGTTAGTGATGCGCAGCCAACAAGTGCAGCGGTACATGAATGCATGAGTCAATGGCACAGCAGGCAGGCTGCGGTTCTTATACAAGTACACACGTTAGATCAATGCGAGTGAGTGTAGGGAGTAGGAAGGAGAAACCTGGAGACAGACATTGATATGCCTAGGGACAGAGTTCTGTCATGATGCTACTCATTACACTACATCTCCCCTAACGGAAAGAGTTGCAGGCCCAGACAATGCTATGCCCAGGGATAGCGTTCTGTTATGATGTTACTTATTACACCACATCTCCCCTAACGGAAAGAGTTGCAGGTCCATGTTTACATTGTCGAGATGAGCCGCTCCGGTGCAATGGCTGTGCGACCTGAACAGGTAGTGGAGGTGGCACTTGTGTTGGGCTCGGCGGCAGCAGGCATGCCGTTTTGGCTCGCCACAGGAGTTTCTCCACCGCTTGGTGGCTTCCGGCTGCGGCGGGAGTAGCCGTGAGGTGTTGCAGTGAGCCGTTGCAGTAAGCTGTTGCAGTCAGCCATTGCAGTAAGCCGTTGCAGTAAGCCGTTGCAGTGAGCCGTTGCAGTGAGCCGTTGCAGTGAGCCGTTGCAGTGAGCCGTTGCAGTGGGCCGTTGCAGTGAGCCGTTGCAGTAAACCGTTGCAGGTTGCAGTAAGCCGTTGCAGTAAGCCGTTGCAGTAAGCCGTTGCAGTAAGCCGTTGCAGTAAGCCGTTGCAGTAAGCTGTTGCAGTAAGCTGTTGCAGTGAGCCGTTGCAGTAAGCGGTTGCAGTGAGCTGTTGCAGTGAGCCGTTGCAGTGAGCTGTTGCAGTGAGCCGTTGCTGTGAGCTGTTGCAGTAAGCTGTTGCAGTAAGCTGTTGCAGTAAGCTGTTGCAGTAAGCTGTTGCAGTAAGCTGTTGCAGTAAGCCGTTGCAGTGGGCCGTTGCAGTGAGCCGTTGCAGTAAGCCGTTGCAGTAAGCCGTTGGCTTGCAGTGGTGTGTCGTGAAGCGATCGCGGATGCGGTCATCGCGAGCGTCCTTGTATTGAAGTCGTCGTTGTCCGCGCTGCCGTAGAGGCGACGCAAAAGTGACTCGTCCACGGTCTCGGATGGCGACTGTGTGTCGCGTTCGAACGTGGACGACGTTGGACACGGGCGTGACGTACGCCGAGAGTTTCGTCTCCACTTCCTGAGATTTATCGCGATCGCCGGCGTTGTCGAACGCGAGCCATCCTAGATCCTGAAGTTGCAGACCAGGTTCGTTGCGGATCAATGTTATTTTTTTATCACTGATCCTGTTCACTGCGCCATGTAGCGGTAACTACTTAGAGTAGTTTCGCCTGACTGTTTATTGCAAAAAGGGGGAACATTATCGGACACGGAAAAGCACAACTAACTGTAAGGAGAGCAGAAACGAAGAGGTGATTCCAATCGGGAATCACTGTGTAAAGAAGACAGAGAGCGGAATGGACGGCGGTGCTGCGTGCACAAAGCAGCGACCGGAAGCAGCGTGCCCAGTACGGGATGCCATGTATAGATGGAGCCCGAGGCCGGCAGTGCACTCAGACATGAATACGCACGCGCACGCACCCGAGTACTGCGTTCAGTGCATGCGGGGACTGTGGCATAGAAGGGGAAGGGTTAGTGATGCGCAGCCAACAAGTGCAGCGGTACATGAATGCATGAGTCAATGGCACAGCAGGCAGGCTGCGGTTCTTATACAAGTACACACGTTAGATCAATGCGAGTGAGTGTAGGGAGTAGGAAGGAGAAACCTGGAGACAGACATTGATATGCCTAGGGACAGAGTTCTGTCATGATGCTACTCATTACACTACAGACATGTGTCTTCCTAAGGGTGTGCAGACTCCACTGTAGCCATAGTTCATGTTTCACACAGTTATACACCACTACTCAAAGCTGGTCTCTCTCCCTCTCTCTCTCTCTCTCTCTCTCTCTCTCTCTCTCTCTCTCTCTCTCTCTCGAAAATTTGGATTTCATTTTTTAGACGAATTTGTAGCCGAGAGACCGTTTTTGGGTAGTGGTGTATAACTGTGTGAAACATGTGTCTTGTCAGAGAAACACTCCCTAACTGTTGCGGGTTCCACTCAGTGCAGAGCAAAATCCTGTTGGGTTCTGGCTCAGGGTGATTTAGCCATCGATGAACCTCTATTGAAACTTTACTGTAGGTGCCAGAGTCTGCTCCAGAGCAAAGTCAGCGACCCGGTTGGGGTACTTGGACCCGGTTGGGGTACTTGGACCCGGTTGGGGTACTTGGACCCGCTTGAAAAAAAAAACACCAAATCACTTGTGACCTGGTTGGGACTCATTCAGGAAGTCCTAAGACTCCCTGATGTACAATGTCCAAACTTGAATGTACCCGGGACCGACCCGGTTGCAAAGATTGGGACAGGCACACTTGCACCTGGTTGGTTTGAAATCCTAGACCAGACACTGGGTGGCCTGTTCCTTTGAAGAATTATTGTTATTCATAATATCAGCGAGAAACTATACCCATCCACAGCCAACAGAAAACCCATCCATTGCAACAATAGCTTTCTCTCCGTACTTCATCAATGACTCTACCGTCCTGCAGAAAGTATCACGAAGCCTCCTGGATGCAACTTAGTTGTACTTACGTTTGGCACCATGGTTGAAAAACAGAGGGACCTCAGGGTACCCGGTTTAAGTTCTGCTGCTTGGAAGCAGAAGGATTTTTCCCTGCCATGCTGCGACCCACAGTTCAGTACTGTACTTGGAGTCTCATGGCCTGGCAAGAGGGAAACTTGGATACAGCGAATTGGATTTTCGGTCTTTGACCACCACTTGGCGGTGGGTGTGATCTACTTACCTCCCACCGTTTTAGGAGCTGCATTTGCACCTTGATCCTAGAGGGTGGTGGCGTTCCTACAGACGCGGAAAACTCAGTCTTTATAAAAAAAGGTTCCAGAGAAATGTGATTTTTGAAATCAGATGCTCCATAAAGCCGCTTTTTTCCTATTGACCAAGTGTTACTTCCTCCGGAACTGACATGAACTTTGTGACTTCCATCAACCTGTCCGTTCCTTGGAATTGAGCTCTGAGGAATGGAGCTATGGTGACTCCAAGTGAGACTGAAACGTTTCCGATTTCCTTTGTTTATCAGTGTACATACTTCAAACAAGTATATTCACCCATTGCCTTCCATTGTTTCTTTGTTCCAGTGAACCAAATGTCTTGAGTACAAAAATTCCTTAGACTGAGTATGAATAAGAAAGTATGGACTCGGATGGAGAGCCAAGGATTAATTTATAGAAAAAAGGACCAAGGAACTACAAGTTACGCTATAATGTCCACGAACATCACCAGTTACTAAACAATCAGCTCGTGTGATAACATTGCATGACACTGACCGACGGTACTGACTTTCTAAAACTAACTGGCTAACAGCCCTAGCACATCTTGAATGCGCACTCCAACAGTAAGAGAAAGTAGCAAAGTTTTTTTCTTCCCAGGAGAAGTACCTACACTTCATTGATAACCTTTCCGTTGTTCACAGTCTTGCATGGCCATCAACTGTTACGTTCTGTTTTGCTGTCGGTTATCTTAATCTCTTGCAGCTGCTGTTCACATTCTTCAGTGCCTTCATCGTGGACCGCTACGGCCGACGTCCACTGCTGATGGTGGCAGGCGTAGGTATGGGCATTTCGCTGACCGTCCTGGCGCTGTTCTTTTTCAACCGTGACCACATTCACGGCGAAACGGCGGCAGCGTTGCCCGCGACCGCCATCTACGTATACACGGCGTCGTTCTCCATGGGCCTGGGCATCATACCCTGGCTGTTCATGGCTGAAGCGTTTCAGACGCGCGCTTTCCCGGCACTCTCAGCCGTCACCGCCGGTTCCTCCTGGTTCATGGCATTCCTGGTCACTCAGTACTTCTCCGCTCTGTCCGACTTGATGACAGATGGCGGTGTGTTCTTGCTGATGGCAGTCGTCTCGTTTGCTCTTGTTCTGTTCACGAAGGTCAGCCTTATCGAGACCAAGGGTCTGTCCTTAGAAGACGTGGAGAATATCTTCAAGTGCAAGTCGGGACTTTCTGACGAATACAGCCAGCGCCCTAGCGTCGCCAGCAGTACTGGATCTGTTCCTGATGAGAATATAGTGGTATGAACTGGCCATCACCTTATAGCGATCGGCCAAAAGTTTATGCCCCGTGCCTGTGCAAATGACCGCCTTAGCAGGACATTGCCGGGTTGTAAGGCACGGTAGGTCCCACCAAATGTTGACGAGTCTCGGTCAGGGTGCTGGTGCCTGGCTGGCCATACTGAGCGGGCAACTCAACCATGTGTCTGCCCTCCTTGTTGAGTCACCTACACTAATCTATAGTCCGCAGCTCGCCATATCAGTTTCAACTTCTTCCATCTAACCACCAGCTGAATGGTATCTCCATCAGCTTAGAACCACAGCATGAAGACACTCAGTACATCATTGCATCCATTGAGATAATCATCTATTTTCATATGAAGATCAGCCGCTTGCAACACTTGAGCTTGTGCTACCACAAATTCGTACTTTTCATATTATCTACTTTGAAGTATATTTGAGAAAGAGACATCAAACGGAGACTATAACAATTTCCTGAATATTGGGCCATTTCTTAATTTTAAATACGATGACGCAACACAAACTTGTGACAGTCTTTGGCCAGGACTTATCCATGCAGACTAGGCTGCACCTCAGATACGAATAGGTTTTAGAAAGTCGGATTGCACTGACTAGATTATCTTTCTAGATTATCTTTACTCGGAATAGTTTTGAATGGTACTTTCCCATAGTAAATGTTGCAGGGGTAGTTCTTTACCAATTGAATGATGCTCTTACTTCCAGACTATTCTTGCCTCTATGTTTCTTTCCATTTGTACAATGTATTCTGTTGACTGACCAACTGACAAAATCACCGAGTGGCCCTTGCCATGCAAATGGACTTTCCCGAAAGTGAATTAATTATCTTTGCAGCTAGATTCTATTCTTTGCTAGCCTTCACTCTTTTCCTTCTCCTCCTGTTTCAAGCTCCTCTGCCCAGTAATTGCAGTGCTAAAGACACACCCCATCCTTTCATGTTCAAGTTCTCCATGGAATTTTTATTTTGTTCCCTATTAAAAATTATAATTTTTCACCTAGCTCTTTCTCCTTTTCTACTCCGTTTTCTTCATTTTTCTGTTCGTTTAACTTTCTCCAACTGTTTCTTTTGTTTTCCAAAAGCTTCCTATAGTCTAGTAGACATGAGACTTCCTTAGTGCTGAACATTCTCTGAATCATTGCACCCTTTAGGCGGAGAAGTTAATCTAGTTTGGACAACCGGCCCGAGTGAGAATGCCTCCAGGGCCCATCATATTTTTTCCTGCACATCAACCTCCCAACTATACTAGCTCTTTTCTATCAGTTTTTTTGCATGACTGGAAACACAAATCACCGCAGAATCAAGATGTGCAAGCAAGTGTGTGTTTATCGTGGAGGCCTATAAAATGTTTAAAGCACCGTCATACTGGTGAGCATGTGGAGAGAATTATTGGTTGTTAACCTGGCAAAATGGCAGTAAATACACGCCTGCCCTCACAACACAGAGCATTTCTTCTCCCCATCACCATCATCGGTTTGTGCGTCACACATAGTCGATGCATGGTTGATGATGTCCACACAGCTGGCTGGTACCGTAGTACACCAGTTCATGATTTCATATTGAACCGTCTGAGTTGTAACACAGCTCTCTCTCTCTCTCCCCTCCCCTCCCTCTCTCTATCTATCTCTCCCCCCCCCCCTCCCCTCTCTCCCCCTGTCTCCCCTCCCTGTCTCCCTCTCTCTCTCTCTCTCTCTCTCTCTCTCTCTCTCTCTCTCTCTCTCTCTCTCTCTCTCTCTCTCTCTCTCTCTCTCTCTCTCTCTCTCTCTCTCTCTCTCTCTCTCTCTCTCTCTCTCTCCCTCTCTCCCCCCCCCCTCTCTCTCTCTCTCCCCTCTCTCTCTCTCTCCCCCCTCTCTCTCTCTCTTTCTCTCTCTCTCTCTCTCTCTCTCTCTCTCTCTCTCTCCCCTTCCACTTGAGGTCAAATTGACCATCATCAAGTGCAGCACAGCCAGCCGGGGGTATGGCACCCCTCCGTCTAGGACGTGGTGTCCGGTTGAGGTGGAAGGTCGGGCCGGGGAATCCAGAGGACTCTGAGCAGGGGTAACCAACGGACTACCCACCAAGGAAGGGGAACCCGGGTTGGGGGAATCCGGAGGACTCGGGGGGGGGGGGGGGGGGGGGGGGCAGACGGACTACAGTACTGTATTCTTTTTTTTTTCATCATTTCTTCCTTTAATATCACATTTGTTTCCCCTTCCCTGTTCTTTATTACCTTCGTATCCACTCGTTTTGGACACAAAAAGCCTCTGCGAAGTGACTGAATGACTTTTCAAATCGTTCCGTTTATCGCAATTCTAAGATATTTTAAAGGGGAAGTTAAGGCAAAAATTAAAATTTCACCAGTTGTAGTCTTCGGGGTGCTGAGTCGAATGGTCTTGGTCCGAGAAAGCTGAGACGCTCCCTTCCTACTTGAATCCCAATCGAACTCGCGCACTTCCACCGAAACTGGGTGACTGCGCCCTACTAGATGGGGATTTGTATGCAAAATGCCACTAAAAGCGCCATTTTGTTCTTATAAAAGCACGGATGACCGCGATTGACCCATATGTTGTAGTCTTTTGGACGCCGAGTCGACTGGTTTTGGTCCGAAAAGGCTGCGATGCAGCGTTCCTCCTTTATTCCCAATCGAACATGGTTGAACAAGCGGTCACGTGCTCCTGGGTGCCCAAATCACCTGGTCACCACACCAGCAGGCGACAACTTTCACACCAAGGTTCAACTCGAGTTCAACTCGACTAGTGACAGGACTGCAGCCAAAAAAGGTCAAACAGGCTAGTAAGTTGTACCCTGCAGGCACGGTGACCAGGTGACTGGTGTACGCAGGAGCAAGTGACCGCTTGTTCAACCATGTTCGATTGGGAATAAAGGAGGAACGCTGCATCGCAGCCTTTTCGGACCAAAACCAGTCGACTCAGCGTCCAAAAGACTACAACATATGGGCCAATCGCGGTCATCCGTGCTTTTATAAGAACGAAATGGCGCTTTTAGTGACATTTTGCATACAAATCCCCATCTAGTAGGGCGCAGTCACCCAGTTTCGGTGGAAGTGCGCGAGTTCGATTGGGATTCAAGGAGGAAGGGAGCGTCTCAGCACGCCAAATAATAATGCTGTAGCCAATGTCTACAACATCAGCGATAGCATGATTGCACAAACTCAGTCATAGCATGATTGCACAAACACGGACACCTACGTAGCACCTACAACAACACTTACATGATGATTGTACAACCGCACCCAGCCTACAGCAACACCCATACTACAGTATAGGGCTATAGCATGGTAGCATAAAACCCCGGGGAACAAGAGAGAATGAATGAAATGAAGAACAAGACGAGCACCCGCAGCTGCAGCAGCCACAACAACAACAACAACAACAACAACAACAACAACAACAACAACAACAACAACAACAACAACAACAACAACAACAACAACAACAACAACAACAACAACAACAACAACAACAACAACAACAACAACAACAACAACAACAACAACAACAACAACAACAACAACAACAACAACAACAACAACAACAACAACAACAACAACAACAACAACAACAACAACAACAACAACAACAACAACAACAACAACAACAACAACAACAACAACAACAGCAACAGCAACAGCAGCAGCCACAACGACAACAACAACAACACATGTACTACAGAACATTGAACTAACTTGTCATGCAGTGATGAGCCTACACATCACCCAACAACCGCCAATCACTGTTCACTGCTGGCTTGCGCTCAGAGTCCTGATAAAAATAGCCTCCATGATGCGGCGGTCAACATACGATCGCTGTCTTCCGGCAAGAATCTGTGCATCACAGAAAGGTGAGTGGTCCGGGAAGGTGTGCTGTTTCCTCCGATAATGATCGCCAAATAGCTTCCCAACAGTTGCGTTCTTGGCTTGTCGATGATAATTATTCCTTCGTTCTCAGGCTTTCGTGCTGTCCAGTTGCCGAAGTTTCGACCTGTGGTGGTCCGACCAGTAATGTGCCGTTACTGCTTGAGCGCATTCTAAATCAGTTACTAGTACCCGGTAGATCTACTCTCTTTTGTCAAAATTTGTGCCAGCGCATTTGTCTAGTACAGCGGGTCGCGTTGCGTGATCTGAAGGACCTTCCGGAAATTCCACTGTGGCATCATCAGACGTAGTTTCGTTGTACTCGAAAATTATGCCTACAATCATGTAACAAGGAGAGCATCTGTGCGGTAATGGAATTGTTGGAGGAGCATGAGAATGAAGTCGATATGTTTTCGTTGTCAATAATTATTGGATGATGTGCGTGAGTTGCTTATGTTTGTTATTGAATCAAATTTCTTTGAATTTGATGGTTGCGTGCATCGACAGCGCCAGGACCTCCTAGCCATGGGTAATTCACCTTACTCCGCCAATGGCTATTATCTTTATGTCGATGTTCGAGACGTGTGCGCTGGCCGAGTATCCGCTGAAGCCAGCTTTATATCGTCGGTACATTGACGTTTGTATTCTTGTTTGGCTTTTCGGTTTCAAGTCGCAGCGCTCCTACTTGAGTCCTAGCATTTATTGAATATCTAAACTCTCGCCACCGAATTATCTTCACTGCCGAATACACAAAAGCTGTCAGCTCCAACACCGTAAGCTACTTGGACTTGTCCATCTCGATGTCTGGTGACAAGCTTGATTGGAAGTTAGTTGTTCGTTAAGCCGTCACATAGTGGTGTGCATTACAATTTTGTCGTATCTGTCGTCGTTACCAACCGAAAATCGCAGTTGCAAACAACCAGTTCGAAAGGGCAATTGACAACGCCCCAACGAAGGCGGGAAGACAACAAGGCATGATTCAGAAGATCGTCAAACTCCTGCGAGAGAACAACAGTTACCCACCCAGACATCATTCACACCGGGCCATTCAACGAGCCAGCGACACACAGACATCGCGCCAGAAGAAGAGAAGAGAATACAGATCTATTATCAAGGTACCGTTCATAAACGACCGACTCGCAAAGAAGGTGCGTCAAGTTAGTTGTCAGGTCGTTCAGCAAGGAGGTGTGGGTTGTCTTTACGTCAGGCCGCTCCTTGAAGGACATGATAATGTATCGTCATCGTTCAGCAAGCCAAAATGCCCCAGGAGGATCCAGCAGCAGATGAAGAAGAAGGAAGGGCCAGGGGCAAGCCAGCTGAGTGTCGTGCATGTGATGGTAGTACGAAGCATGGTGCGTGTATGTCCAAGGATGTCGTCTACTCGTTGAAAGGTGCCGTATGTCAGGAGGAGTATGTCAGAGAAACGGAGAGGACAGCGTGCACGAAAGAGATCGGAGGAACATCATCGACAAGCCAAGAACGCAACTGTTGGGAAACCATTTGGTGATCATTATCGGAGAAAACAGCACACCTTCTCGGACCACTCACCTTTTTGTAATACACAGATTCTTGCCGGAAGACAGCGATCGTATGTTGACCGCCGCATCATGGAGGCTATTTTTATCAGGAAGCGCAAGCCAGCAGTGAATAGTGACAATGGATGGCGGTTGTTGGGTGACGTGTAGACTCATCACCGATACCAAGTACCGGTAATGTTCTCTAGTATTGTTGCTGTTGTTGTGGCTGCTGCTGCTGCTGTTGCTGTTGGTCCGCTAGAGCATAATCTAGCATTATAGCCTAATATAGGGGCACGAAAAACTACAGTTTGTACCAAACTAAAGTTTTGTTTTCTGAACGTTCAGGCTGCAGGGCCTAGGGCCAGGGTGCACCGGTGACAGACCTCGCACCGACCAAAAACGAAATCATAGTACATGTACATGTATGTAAACGAACTGCTGGTGCCTGGTGGAGTGTTATACCATGGACCATGGTACGATACGCAGGGCCTGTTTTCAGCCAATCAGCGCTCGTCTAGCCATGGTTATATTGGCCAGTATAAATCCCGCGCGGGATTTATATTGAGTATAAATCCCGGTGCACGGTACGTACGCTAGGGCACTGCCACCGTACAAATTCACTGCCTGAAAGGCAGTGAACTTGTACGACGGCAGTACTCCAGCGCACGGACCACTCACAACAGACACAACGTACACCACATGCACGTGTGCACTCCACACAGAACGGCATTACTGACGAGGAACAGTACACAATGGAAAAGAAGAATGACCTTGAATTTTTCTACCGAGTATTCTATTATGCTGAAACTGAGGATAAAGAACGTCAAATGACCACGAAGTATCCCGAATGGATCAGCAATGTACATTGTACTTCGAATAGTTGAAGATCATCAACAGACTGTCTCTTTCGTAACTAAGTTTATGATACAGAGTGCACTTCAAATCCACCTAAACCGATTGGAAAACGCTAGAATGGATTGAAATGTGATACAGTGATACAAAACAGTGTATACAAATGCGTCTACTTGCAATTAAGCAAAACTGATTATAAGATGCCGCATGTGAAAATCAGCACTGTACCACAATCATGATAATAGTAACGCTTACTCCCAAAGAGTCCAAACTGTACTGTAGTCTAACTAGTGACGGTAGTTTGATTCAAAGACAACTCCAGCACCCCAGCAATTCAGTTGACTTCCGCATCGCTCACGAGACAATTTGCTACAATATGCACTGGAACTGAAAGGAAATCTTATGCCAAACATCCACGGAGAAATCTCCTTCTGATCTTGCTCGACCATTCTTTCAATCGACAACTGATAACCAGCAGAACATGTTCATGTACTGTATGATGTAGGAGATCTCCAAACAGGTTCGTTGTTCTGGAAATGCGTAGGGGTGCCTGGCATAAGTAGGATATGACCCTCGTAGTCGGGTTATACCCCCGTGACCGTACCCTCATATAAATCGCTCCTGCTATCGCAGTCGGGATTTATATTCAGCCGGCACAACCCTCTGACTCGGGTTATATCCTCTACATCTAGCGAAAGATTTCGTGTCGCATTTGGGGTTTCAGAACCGCTCATCATGAGAGCGGTTTTATATGGATAATTTGTACGAGTCATACTTACAGTATACAGTACATGACAGAGTGCACTACAAAAAATGTAGTGTCAATAGTCCATAAATGGACTCTTGCTAGTGTCTTATGAGAGTAATTAGTTATAATTATAGCGGTGCAGGTGCACTACAAGTAATTTTCTGCTCAGAAAATGCAAATATGGAAAGGCACAAAAAGTGACAAATTCTGTCGTTAGAATTGATTTTATCCAATTCCGTCAAATCCGTCAACTCTGAAGAGAGGGCGGAATTTCTCTAATTCTGGCGCCAGAATTGCACAGTCGGTGTGTCACCGGTCTGGTCATGACTCAAGCGCGTGAAGAGCCCTGGCCGGCATGTGCGCGATGCTGGGTCCACGTGCGCGGGAGGGTGCACGTGATGTCTTTTTACGATTCTTATTTTGTTTGTGACTTGACGTGAATAAAATGCGTTGTGAATTCCAGTCGTTCGTTTACAAGGCCGGAATCCGCTCATTCTGGTCATTCCAGAATTTAAAAAAACCAGTTCCAGAATTGTGTAAACGTGTAATCGAAAGCGCCCATTGTGTAGTGTAGGGCTCCCGGCCATATCCAGCATCATGCGGCCATGCATACATGTATGCAGGGAGTCGTCAAACGGGGCCTCGTTTCCATTGTTTTCCACGTGGTAGATATCTGCCATGTACCATAATTATAATTATAATTATATCTCATGCGCATATGCATGCATAATACATTATGTAATTATGCGCATGGTGTATTTTGTAGTGTTTTTTTGCGGCTGAGAGTGCGAAAAATATTTCAAAAAGTCCTTTTGGCCGGATAAAGCGGAGCTTTCCTACGGAAACCGGTACGAGATTTTAGGGAGGTTCCGGAGTACGATTTTTCGTGCCAAAATCCATCGAGGCGCTACGGATTTTTATACGTCGTTTTTCGAGCAGTGAAATGTTCCGGAGTACGGAACTTATGTGTTTGCCGTCATTGCCTAGGTTACGATCCCAAACACGTCACATTCCCGCGCTACTCGTATGCCTTTTTATTTTGAAAATTTGTACCGAAATCAAAACTTCCCGCGGAAAATCCATGTTTCTCGTACCAAATTTGTACGCGAAAAATCTTTCTGCACCCGATGACGCAAAATCTCCTTACGAAACATGGTTCGTGTGAAAGCCAGTCCACACGGATTCTCCGTAGATCTACGTACCCCGTGCCGAAAAATCGTATGGAGCGCGCCTGGAAAAATCCGTAGCGCCCACTAGGACTGACCCGAATTTGCCAGCTGAATCTCGATATTTTGCGGCATAATTTTGCTCGTGCATCGTCGAAATTTTGCTTTCATTTTGCTAGGCCACTCGATATTTTGCTCCCTTTTTGCTCCAAAATTTGTGTCACGTGTGAGAAAACTGACCGAAAGTGGGTTACCTGTTGCCAAAAATGAGAAAAAGTGAGTCACGTGTTGGTAAAACTGTGCCGAAATGAGTCATGTGCACCGTATATGTGTAAAATCTCCCAATTCCCAGCCAACACACCGATATTTTGCTCCATTTTGCCAGCAAATTCCCTTTCAAAATTCTTCGATATTTTGCTAGAAGAATTGCTAGCAAATTCGGGTCTGCCCTAGCGCCCACACGGATTTTGGCACGGAAAATCGTAGATCTACCCCGGAACCTCTCTTTTGACCAGGGAGTAGTACAATACCTACTCCCTGCTTTTGACAACTGATCCTGACATCGGGAGTCAGGGAGTCGGTATTTGACGACTCCCTGTCGGGAGTTCATGAACTCTTGCTGCTGAGCGCTGATATCCAGCATGGTCCTTTCGAGTTTCGTAGTTTCGACGTCGTTTTGTGCTTTCCAGATTTCAAGGAACGACTGACTGACATACCTTGCTTTCTCCGACCTACTTCGATTCGTAGGGGTTAGTTGTGAGAGTGGATAGAGGCATAGAAGCTGACAGGGATCAAGAAACCTATCGCGCATGTCGAGGTAAGGGCTCGAGCTTTGTCTCTTTGTGGTTCGGCTTCTTTTTGTTGTTGTCAGGCATTGCACTCGTCGTGTCATTGCATGTGAGGTAGCCTGAGAATTATTGTTTCTGGTAATGTCTCACATGATGTCGTCAGACGGGCGGTGTGCCTTGACAGGGCGAGAAGTTCCCATGCTGTGACTTGTACAAGTAGACTTCGATTTAATACTCCGCAGATATTCAAGTTATTTTGCAAAGTAATCGTACCCTAGGCCCTACGACTAATACAATTACAAGTACTAAAACTACATGCTTACTGCGCTACAAGATGCAGTCTTTAATACATCACATATTGTATGCTGTAACACCTGGTGATTATGGGCCTGGCAACTAATTCCTTTCTGTAGAAACGCGATGCTCATCATCAAACTGCAAGACTACAGTAACACTCATGTGGCATTGTGCACATGGAGCAGGTTGCGTATGTGTAGGTTGATAGAGATTAAGGGTGCGTTCTTGAATCCTCTCGGAAAAGTTCGAGACCCGTGAAAGTACGAGAAGTGTTCTTATATCCTCTCTGAATTTTAGGAGACTCCAAAGCTCTCCGAACTTCAGAGGTGGTTGAAACTTGGCGATTCCCGCGTTTTGGGCTCAGCGCGTGCGAACTACCCGTAAAAGCTATGTGTTGATCATGAGTGTAGGACATTCCCTTTTTGCATACGCACAGTGCGTACAACATTCGTGTCACTGAAGATTGTGGCCTCTTTGGCGCTTCACATTTGCAAAAGATTTCCGAAGTCTTCGAGACCCGTTCCTAAATTATCCCAGTTTCTTCGACTTCCAGGAGAAATTTCTCCGAGAAGCAAGAGAAAATGAGAACGCCCCCTAAATATGCGTATCACACACGTCAGGCGGACGTAAGTGTGTGTGTGGGGGGGGGGGGGGGGGAGGGGACCCACGGTCCACCAACCGCCACACAAGTCCCGTCCACAGCGCACATGTGCAAGGCCTCACTCACGTACAGTACTGTCGGGTAGCGCCGAAGAACGACCAGGCTAGAATTTTTACCAAGCACAGCATACCAATGTATACATGGTGACTCAACTGTGCACAGACTGTAAATAATTACAGTAATACATGAAAATAAGAACGGTCTAGGCTAGGAGGCCGACCCCCCCAGTTCTTCGGCGACCGACAGTACTGTATAGCAGGTCTACCCATGTGTATTCGGCCTTTTATGGAGCATTTTTCTGAGTACACAGATGTGCGAGTGGCCTGGGATGTGTGAAAGCAGCCGGCAGTAGTACAAAGTTGATACGCTTGTACGACTGCCTGGTGAAAGTACGATAAATGCAGGAAAGTTGCCTTGTTCAAGGGTTCGCACCCTGCCTGAAAGGATTGGGCAGCTTTTTAGGCTTCCCGACAAATTCTTGTAGTTGTCTTGGAAACTTCTACCGTATTCACCCACATACAAGTGCATGCCCTTATGCGAAAAATGCGTTTTTCCATTTCACCAGGAAACAAAATTAATGTTCCGGATACAAGGGCATGTCTTTCAATACGAGTATTCGAGTCTTCAAAATACACTCCTGAGTCTTGAGTTTTTTCATGCCTTTATGTATGGAGGTGCCCTTGTATTCGAATATAAGTGCGCGCCCTTTATGCGCGTGATACAGTATGTAAATGTGACCTATAGGCTGTTTTGTACCTAGTCTGAAGAGGGCCTTAATCTCTTTGGTATCCCACCAATGCCCACGCCATGCATGTGCGACACCCTGCTCCGGCGAAGGTCAGTCCGTGGCATTTAGTGCAGCATTTTTCTACGCTGCTCAAGAGTTGCTCAACGAAATGCAAGGCAGCAACTTGGACACGTGCGCTACCATGGGGGAGTGTTTGGCACTTTGTGAAGCACTTTCCGTGTTGTACAAGAGCTGCTCTACGAAATGCAATAATTGCGACTCGGACACGAGCGCTACCATGGGGAGTAGTGTGATGTGTGATGTTCTGTGCAAAATGTGCAGACACAATACAGCGCAGCTTTTAGAACACGAACTGTGCAAGTTGTGGGGCATGTCGATCTGCAAACGCAGGTGTACATGTTCACATTCACACGCTGAGCACGTATCTGCAAGGGGGAACTACAGGATAGACCAAAGCGGTCAGAACCTGCGGTCGTGTAGGCACTGCATCGAACAGTCCTGGCATTCACACAGCATGGCTGGCTGCTCCTGGAAGTGAGGCATGTGATCCCGAGAGCATGCCAGCCAACTGGAAAAAAACGAGAATGGATGGGAGTGTGGCAAGAAGGCATGTCGCGTTGAAATAAAAGTGTTTGAACATCTGACTTATGTCACTGATCGTCCTATGCCGATGAGTCTCCTAGGTGGTGTTTACATGAGGCATTTTAACCCGGGTTGAGTTAGGGGAGGATTGAAATCGAGAAATCATGCTACCGTACTTCTGTGCGTATCTCGCGCCAGGTTTGAACAGCACTGCACAGGCAAGTTTCGCACGAAAGTATTCATGCGACCACACAGGACTGTAGAAGTGGACTTTTGGCGGCATATCAGTATGTGACCCGGGTCAACTGTCTTCACGTAAACACCCATCTATTTTGTCTATCGTACAGACTTTCAACCCAGGTTGAAAATTCTCGTGTAAACACAGCCCTAGACTCTATCAATTCCCCGGCTTGCCATTCCACATTCCAGCCACCGAACAGCAATGGAACAGCCACCGAACAGATAGTTCTAGTGTACCTTGCGGCATGCGGTCCCGCCAACATTTGACCTCATACGACTGAATCACCACGGCATTATCACGCACGGGATGGTTTACCTGATATCGTGCAGGGGCGTCGGAAGGTATTTTAGTGTGGTACGGTCAGCCATCTGAAGTACAATTTACTCGTGGGGGAGTGGTGGCTGAGCCGAAACTTTTGGAATTTTAGATCCCAGATCAGTGTATTTTGTTGATTCACGGGGTATCTGGGGCAAAAAGTGGTACGGTCAATACCGTAGTGACCGTACTGTGTGCGACGCCCCTGTCGTGTAAACCACCGCTTTCCCGTGCAATCATTTACATGTACAGTGAAACCGGTAACTTAAGACCCCCGTGACTAGCGACCAACCTGGTGTTACAGACCATTTCGCCAGGCACGCACGTTTTCACATTCATATATGGCTGTGCGGTGCAAACCTCTAACTAAGGACCACCTGCCACTAAAGACCGCTTTCTCTGGCCCCAAGGGGTGGTCGTTAGTCACAGGTTTTACTGTAATGGTTGTGCGGTGCAAACCTCTAACTAAGGACCACCTGCCACTAAAGACCGCTTTCTCTGGCCCCAAGGGGTGGTCGTTAGTCACAGGTTTTACTGTATGGTTGTGCGGTGCAAACCTCTAACTAAGGACCACCTGCCACTAAAGACCGCTTTCTCTGGCCCCAAGGGGTGGTCGTTAGTCACAGGTTTTACTGTACATGCCTTGTGGTGTGATGTCCTCTTTCATCTCAGCTTGAACTAGGAAAGATACACCAGGCCGGAGACAAGAACTGGACAGGAGAGCCAGCTCCGGCATACTCTGGCTGAAAGATGGTCGTTGTTCGGCAACTAAGACTGCTGATATGGAAGAACTGGTTGCTACAAGTGAGTGTGTGTGTGTGTGTGTGTTAAAATTAGCGGCAGTCAATTCATCAGCCTGGCAAGCTGTTGAATGGTGTAATTCCAGCACAAGTCTAGCATAGCTTGTTTGCTATCATCACTTCAGCGATGGGCAGGAGTATGAGTATGGGTTTGAGTGTGTTCGTGTGCCTGTGCGTTTGTGTGTGTGTGTTGTATGTGTGTTGTATGCGTGTGTTTGTATAAAAAACAATATGTGCATACCGGTATGTACTGTTACACTGCAGCATACACACACATGTGTACTGTTGTGCTGTATGCGTCCCGGTGTTCATGGGTAATATATCATACAAGTGCGCATGGCAAGGGCAATCACCCGTGCCCTGTGTGCGTGCATGTACTGTTCATGCATTTGCCGTGCCTATGTTCACGCATCTGCCTGCCTCTAGTCATGCATTTGCCTGCCTCTGTGCATGCATTTGCCTGCCTCTGGTCATGCATTTGCCTGCCTCTGTTCCTGCCTTTGGCTACATCTGATCATGCCTTTGCACCACTCCTGGGGCAGGGTTTCACTTGCCACTGCTTTACATGTACATGGTCCCAGACACATGCAGTATCATTCTCTATGCAGTACAATTGTCAATCCCCTCTTCGCCTACAATGCTGCTTTTCAGGCATCTCGGAATGGGAAGTATCCATCTAAGATGGCCGTCACCTTTTTGCGGGGCAAGTTACCCCATACTTGGCAGGTACAACCCGTTATACAGTAGTACATTTATGAGTGTGACCTCACAAAGTTCATGACCTTTTATGCAGAGTTGGTATCACAGTCTGTACGGTTGTAGTGGACTTGCCCCGCAAAACCTAATGGCGGGAAATGGACGCATACGTCCCATTGAAGGGAAGGATTTAAATTTGTTGCGTGCCTCACGGGCTCGACAATATTCGGCTTGCGTACTTACCGGTATAGCCCCATGGTTTGGAATCTTCTCTTTGCTTCTATTCAGATCCGCCGGCCTATCGGATCTGTGGCCGAATTTCTTCTTCCCATCTTGCTCATCGCTGCCTTAGCTGGATTGAGGTAAGGGTGAGATATAGGGCAAAGTCCGCATGAGCGCTGGAAAGGGCGAATCTTACGCCAATACAGAAGCCACTGGCATGGTCACTCTCCAGTACAATCTCTTTGCTTCAGTTTTAGCGAAAGGCATTGTGCGTGTGTGCAGCAGGGAATACTAAAACAACTTTTTTTAGTACTCCCTAGTGCGCAGCTGCTATTCACTTTCTCTGCATAATATTATCAAGGACTCATGCACTACTGGCTCACTATGTTGGCTTTTTACATTGTTGTCAGTTTGTTGACCTATCTATTGTATAGAATACAAGTTGGTTTGTATTTGTTATCTAGTGTGCTCTCACAGTGGCTCAAGAGACCATAGGTTGCCATCTGTCATCACCCATGATTGATACGAAAAGACGGGGGGAGAGAGAGAGAGAGAGAGAGAGAGAGAGAGAGAGAGAGAGAGAGAGAGAGAGAGAGAGAGAAAGAAAAGAGAGAGAAAGAGAGAGAGGGAGAGAGAGAGAGAGAGGAAGAGAGAGCTTTGATATAGTATCAGTGCTCCACAAACGGTCCAGATTTTGAAATAGCTCACACAGTACAGTCCTTTGCTGGGCACATGCATCAAACTCTCAAAAACACCTGGCTTATCAAGTGATCAGTTCAAACCATGAAACCTAGCCTAATATTATCGAGGCTGAAATCTGGGGGGGGGGGGGGGGGGGGGGGAGCTCAAATTGAATACTGTACTGTACCGTGGAAAACGTTATACTGTAAGTAAACAAATACTCGGCGCGTATTTGTTTTCGGCTATTTTCAGCCTGGTCATATTTGGCCGAAAATTTGTTGCGACCGAAATTTTGTTTTGCAAGGCTCAGTGTGACAGTGTATACAGGCGGCAGCAGCACAGGCCGAACATTTAAATGGGCCGAAATGGGTTTTAGCCCTGGAAGGCCGACATTTGAATGGGCCGGAAATTTGCCGACTTACAGTAGTGCTCATGAGTCATGGCGTCTGCTGGCGTCACGGGTGTAGTGGTTCTGCAAACGCACCAAAGACATCTTGTAACTAGCGTCGTTCACAACAAATCACAAGTGTGTGGGAACACAGAGAACGACAGAGAGATGAAAGGAAAAGTCCAGGCAGGCAGGTACAGCTAAAGTGCGTACAGTACAACTGGCATGCCGGACAGTGCAGCGTGGCCGGATGAATGCATACGTGTCACATAAAAGGATACAATGACAAACAGTGGAATGTGCATCCACTACAACGAGAAGCAGAAGAACCAGGCTGCTAAGTACTACTATTGCCTGCTGCTTTGTGTGTGTTTCTGTGTCGTGCCTCCACCCCTTGATGTGCACTGGCCGCAGGACGGTTTCGAAGCCAGAACATAAATGTTTCGGTGAGTGCAATGGGATATTCTGTGCTGTTTTTGTTTTCAAAATTTATTTGAGTGTGTACGTGTGTGGAGCCAGAAACGTTGCATGCGAATTCGTTTTTCGGGTCTGTACCCTAGACGGAACTTTGCCTTTAAGGGTTTTTATTCTTTTGTTAGTATTTTTACTATTTTAACATGGAAGAATGTGGGCACACGTTATGCACGGCTGTCAAGAAGCGGCAACTTAGAAAGATGGCGTCGGTTCGAGATGGTATGGTAACCGCGCACGTGCCGTGGTCCGTGACTTGCTCATGTATGCACGCAAATGCAAGTCACAAACTCACTAAGATCGTCTTTGCATTTGGAGAAAATATCTTCGACTCTTGCTGGAGGTTGGGGAGGTTTGCCTAATATTTACTTGATTGCGATGCCGGTATGTCCTCTCGATAATTAGAACAAAGAGAGCTGATGATCGCTTCATTGCTGAGTAGAAGTAACAATCAACTCTCCTCAGGTCCTCAGTGCCAAAGGCAGACGACTGCAATTCCACAACGCTCATTTCACGATGATGGAAACAATAATTGTGTACACACTTGGACCATTCGGTCATCCCTATTCTAGCCGCTAGTCCGCCCAGCAAGCAGATATTGACTATTACGATAAGGACAACTGCGTGAACGAGGGCTCGCCCAGCAAATACAATTCAAGTCGTGACTCCAGTCAAGAATTAGTGTCTTACTCGAGAACTTCACAAATACAGGCCTAGGCACCCCACAAAACTGATAGATGGCACGAACGAAAGACAAATAGGCTAGACAAAGTGTCCCAAGTGACCGAGAACAGCAGATCTACCAAATAAGACAGCTACAGGTGCCTAAACAACGGTTCCAATACAGTAGACAGTAGTACAGGTAGAATGAAAACCTTGGAAATCCACAAATACAGCCACGACCGCCACAAAAATTGGACGACCGCCACAACAAAATTCTCACTGCTCTTACCTCCTTGAAGGGTGAAAGTTACCAGTTATCCTATAGCGATGTCAGTTTATGCCTGTTGGAACCCCCTATAGCCCGCACGAAATACCTTTCAAATAATTCCCGGATGCAATTGCAGCTCCAGACAGGAGGAAGAAGAACACCGTGGAAAATAACGGCAACGATGCCCAAACTCTCGGGAAACGGCTGAAATCTTCCTGAAGATGTTAACATTGAATAGCCATCGATTACCAGCGTGGTTTGGTGACTTTAGAACTGTTTTGAGACTTAGAACGAAGCGATATCTCAAATTTGATGGAATTGCTACCTGTCAAATGCGTGGGCGAGCAGGCCAGCTGACTGGTTATGCATGAGCAATTGAGCATGCATTGATTTTGCGTGGTTCACGTGCAGAAAACTAAGTTGCCGCGATCCAAGTGCAGCTAACAGCCGTGTATGCGATCGAGTCCGAGAGATCACGAACAAAGGCAGAAATGTTTTCACATGATTTCAGTTTTCGGGGAAGCGAGTCCCAGAGACAATAGCTAATGAAAACAGGCGAGCGACTCATCGAGTTATTTCTTGAAATAGGGAATCGATGGATAAATCTACAGCAAAGTCTGTTAATTATGGTTTGTAAAGGACAGGTTTTGCATTGGGAATCCAGAATTGTTGATGGGGTGTCAAGTGGGAAGCGAAATATCGCTCTCAAAATCCTGCGATGCATTAGTTCAAGCCGCGTAAGCATTCCTGCTCCAGCACTGCACCACACCATGCTACAGTATAAAATTATGGGTAAGATATAGGAGGCGTAGAAAGCCCGACGACATACTAGTGGTAAATGGCTCATGTGACTGTATAGAACACCAACAGCCGAACTTGTCCGGCGCTCGAGATACTCCAGATGGTGGGACCAACTCATGCCTGAGTCAAAGATGACTCCAAGGTGTTTGTGGTGGCTAACAATTGGGATGGGCGTCTGGTCGTCAGGGAAGTGGAATAGGTACTGGTCGATGTAGGAAAGATCAGAACGCGGATGAGGTGGAATGCACAATATGACAGTCTTTCCAGCATTAGGTCGAAGTTTCCAAAGACGCATCCATTCAACCACTGAGCGAATTTCCGACTGCAAAGAATTACACGCCATGGGCAGAGAAAGTTCAAATGCCACAAGAGTAGTATCATCGACGTACAGGGAGGTATTTGGAACGCGAGTTAAGTCATTTACATAGAGCAAGAAGAGAAGAGGACCCAGTATTGAGCCCTGTGGCACACCGGAACATACTTCGAGCGGTTGGGACAGCGAACCTGACACCCTGACCTGTTGGACCCGGCAGGATAGGTAGCTTTCGAGCCACCACAGAACATTGCCACCGATGTTAAAGGTGGCGACTTTGACCAACGAACCACGGTGCCACACTGTATCAAAGGCCTTTGATAGGTCGAAGAAACAAACTAGGCTGAAGTTGTGCTGATGTTTGCGTTCCAACAGGTTCTGAGTAAAGCGTGCAAGTTGCCACGCGGTAGAATCTCCTTGTTGTGTCTCTAACCAAGAGACTGTGGGTTCACACGTAGAGTTTACATACAAGTTTATTCTACGGTTGCAAAGCAATAAGAAGCGTTGAGGTATGATTGTGCTAGAGGATATAGGAGTTGTATCCCGGGTGCGGGATGCGTTGGGTGTTGGGTGGCAGTACAATGAATTGCTATAGAGAGTTCATGCCTAAGCGGTTGTGGTTTTAGGGTGGATCAATAGTACTTGCAATTAGATGAATACATGTCTGGTACATACACTACATTCCTCCCCTAAATGTTATGGTACATGTTGAGCTACGAGGTATTCCTATACGGCATAACATTTAATGCACAAGAAGAAGAAGCGGATGAGCTGAGAGCACGGGACAGCAATTGTGTGAGCAAGAAGCAATTCAGTCTCTCAGGCGAGCCGGCAGGACTCGGGCTCTCGGCGGGTTACGGCGGGGTTCAGTCGTATCTTGTGCCAGCGGCGACTGGACCTGCTGCGTTGCCGTAGTTGCAGCTACTGGTGTTTGCGCAGGCGGAGGTGTTGGAGTAGCAGCGGCTTGGACACTGGGTGGTGTCGGAACACTAGCTGGCGAATGAGCAGTCGAAAAGCACAAACTGTGATCCGGTTCTGCCACGGACGGCAAAGGCGCTGTGTTCATCGGTACGGATGATTGCGGAGCGGAGTCGGCTGACCGGAGCTGTTCAACATGGCGCCTCCATTGCTGGTCTGGGCCAACTTCCACTGTATAGTGGCGGAAGCCGTGTACCGCTTGCACTGTGCCCTGAATCCACGGGTGTGGTGCGTTGGTGCGGTAGTCACGTACCATGACGGTGTCATCCACAGCAAACGTGCGCTCACGGTTCGCTGATCTTGCACTACGCTGAGCTGTCTGTTTCTTGGCAACAGATGCCTGGACACTGGGTTGAACCAGCGACAGCCGAGTGCGTAGCTCCCGGTGCATTAGCAGGGATGCTGGTGTGGCATTCGTTGTAGCATGGGGTGTGGTGCGATAGGCCAACAGGAAGCGAGGCAAGAACTCAGCGGTGCTGTGGCAGAATGGGACCTGAGTTCGCGGACTTCGCACCTCCGAACGATGGTCTGCCAGCACGACGATGTTGCGGTGTGCCCAGAACGTGTACACCAGCAGCAGTGGCACTGCCCGCGAGCTCGGATGCATCGCGAGTAGCTACCTCCAGGCTGTTGGCTTTCTCGATGGCGGTCTTCAGAGTGAGGTCCTTCTCTGCCAACAGAACTTTGCAGAGAGCTTGACTCCTGATACCACACACGAACCGATCCCGCAGCGTGGTATCCAGGACATCGCCAAACTCACAGAATCGTGCCAACCGTCGGAGCTCCGCGAGGTAGGCATTTACTGACTCTCCTTGGCGTTGATCCCGCTTGTGGAAACGGTATCGTTCCGCGATCACCAAGGGCTTCGGAGCACAATGCGCAGCCAGCGCGTCGGACAGCTCCTTCAGCGTCTTGTCCTTCGGTTTGTCCGGGCTGACCAGGTCAGCCAACAGTTTGTAGGTCAAGCCACCAATCAGGGTCAGGAAGGTGGCTACTTGCCTGTCTTCGGCCACATTGTTGGCAGCGAAGTACTGCTCAACGCGGTCATAGTACGTAGACCAATCCGTCGTTCCAACCGAAA